TGTACTTTGTTGAAGTTTTCATGTGGCAAAAATCACCCGCTATAAAATTTAGTGTACAAATTTATTCAAGGGCAAGTAACAATCTACTCTATGAAAAGTCTGTTGTTGGGTTGACTCTGGAGACCTGGAGGTTGAGACCAGTGTCCCTCCATTACAAATAGATAAGACAGAAGCTGTCCTTTTCAATGCACATGTTAGAAAAAAATTAGAATAACCATTCAAAATATGATTTTTTGAGACTTTATCAATTATATTGCTTGATCCAAGTTTCAGGACATTTTCAATCAATACATGTATTATCATTTATAACTTTAAATGAAAGTCTCATCCCTTTAATAATAATGACATAACTGTAACTCTTTAAATTCAGAAATATTATAAGTCTCATCATATCAATATACTAAGATATACAGGTATGCACATAACATTAATAATTCCCAGTTTCTATTAAATAAATATGAAATCCTAACATTAACATTGGTACTAATGGATGGAATTCAAAATCTAGTAGAATATATAAACTCTGTTATAGATACTATTATTAGCCAGCTAAACAACTATAACCTGTAGACTGATCAATACATGTATTATCATTTATAAATTTAAATGCAAGTCTCATCCATCATAACTGTAAGTCTTTAAATACAGAAATACACATTATATCCATATACTATGATACACTTGTATGCACATTACATTAATAATTCTCAGGTTCCATTAAAAATAAATATAACATCCTATTAACAGGAATTCATAATCTTGTAGAAAGAAAACTATAATGTACATGTACATGATATTGTATAGTATAAAAGTAAAAAAAATCTCAAATAGTCTATATCATGTGATACAGATTAAGTTGTGTTAGTGTCTAAACATTAAATGCATATCTCTTACAGTAACAAATACTGTCCCTCTTTAACCTTCCATTAGACTTTACTATACAATGTATAACTATATAACTGCATATAATGTAATCAAGTGTTTAAAATGAGCACCTATATGTATAGCTTAAATATTCTACCTTTCATTTTTACCAAAGGTTATTTTAGTAACAATTCATATACAAACACATAGAAAATAATAATTTCACATAGTGATTAGAAGATGCCTCTAGCAGAATACCTATAGGTATGTACCAACTGAACAAACTAGAAAAATCTGGTCTAGGGTATATCAAGCCAGTAAAAATATATATCAATATTCACTCATCAGGGCCTCTCTGCTTTTGATGACCTTACAACTGGTAAATTTTATAAAAAACAAAAAATAGTAAGTAATACTAAAGATAGAGTAGACAGAAAAGAACAAATAATTTAGTAAACATGAGTTACTTCCCCTTAAAATAGAGAAAACCTGAAACCCAAAAGAACACCCTAAACATTAAAATTACGAAATGTTGCAGGCTCAGTCAGTTTTATTAAGCCATGCAAATTAATGGTAAAGTATTCATAAAAAAAAAGATGACCATGTGACAGCAGTTATTGCAGAAAATCGGATAGCTTTCAACATCCGGATACTGGTACACTTTGTAAAAACAACCATTTTGTGCAACAGATCAACGTTATATGGATAAAATCAATAGGATAATCGTTAACAACAGTCCATTACCTATCCTTATACTCATTTGCAGGTGAACTTTCTTCTTGTAAGAAAATTTGAAAATATATAAATGAATGAACGAATTCATGGATACGGCATCAATGTAGACCACAACGATATTCGAAATCCGGGTTTTAGTATTGTCAATAAAACTAAGGGACAAGCTGTTAAACTGAGCCTGCAATTTCGTGAAAATAATATCACAATGCACATGCTTTTTATATAAAGTTATTAAATACAAATATAACAACATATTTGTTTACTTGATTTTTACGAATCAAAATAAATCTAATTAACTCAACATGAAATTAACTGCTAATAATAACAGCTCCTTCCATAGGCAAAAATAAAAAGCATTCCATATAAGACGACGCCGCTCACCGGCGTCGCCAATAAAGTAGAAGTTCATTGATAATTCCGAGTTAGTTTAAGGTAAAAATTAGGAAATCATATAAAATAGCTTTTTACACAAGCATAAAAGATACATTTATAGCTTTGTGGCCAAATTGCCACAAAAAGGCACGGAAAAGACGATTGTTTAAGAATTCCTCCTTACGATCACGGACATGACAATGAGATAATTGTTGTAAAAATGTCGAAATATAAGTCAATTTAATTGTTGTTAAAATTGTTCTTATAAAAACTAAAGAAATTTTATAACATTTAAAAAAGAGGTGTATTATTATTCTGAAAATAAGTCGGAACACGTGATAATTAATGCATTTTTTGTTTTCAGCTTTTCTGATATTATCCTTTATCCGACTTGACTGTGATACCAAGCAGAAACTTTTTAAGACACATAGATATATTTAAATAATGTTTCTAACAAACTCTTGATAGGTTAAGATGGGTTATATTAACACACATTTTATCCGGTTTCTCGTAAAACATTAAAATGCACGCCACGTACACTATTTAATTGTCACTTCACAAAATTAATAAACATTGATGGTATAAACTTAAAAAGTAACTTAAATTCCAATTATTTTATGTGATTTAATATGTCATGGTTCTAAAACGTCCCGGTTGAATGATACTGAAAACTATAGCTGACAAATAACAATGAAGCGGTCACTCGATCACGTGTCAATCCGTTTGACATTTACCGCCTTGCTAATCCATGGCCTTTCAAAGGAATACCGATTGTGTAATATTATGTAATACATGGGTAATAAAATTGTATCTTTAACACCCTGCTGTTTCAATTTAAATTACTGATGAAAAAGTCATTGTATGATACCTTGAACAGGACTTTTGGTCATTGAATTATTAGTCTCGCTAACTTTGTATATCTGTTATAAATATCAATTCACGTTTGAAGTACTTAATGCTTTAATTCATCACAAAATTCTGTTTTCTGGGTGACATAACTTATAATCACGTCTTTTATAGCCTTCAAGTACGCTAAATGTAGTCTATTGTTATTTCGCTTTTGCCCTACGCAGAATGCGCATGCGCGAAATGCAACATCGGTTGCTATGGAAAAATCGTATTGTAAAAAGGTCTATAGATGTATGTACACTCTTTATGAACCTGTTGTTTCCAAACACCAAAGTAGAAAAATGATAGATCTGCTAGTGAAAATGATGGTGATCTCGTTTAAATTACGCATACATGGCATTCACACCGCCACTAATGAAATATTCTTTTTCATACCACTTGATGAAAAAAAATCCTATATTTATAGAAAAAAACTTGAATATCATCTTCTTATTATGTAAAAAGAAATCAAATGTCTTATTCTACATTATTTTTTATGAACCGTCAATGTAACGTGTTGTTTTTTTCTCTGTTCATACATTTCTTCTTCGAGAGTCTAGTCATGGTTTTTTGAAGTTATTGGTTTTATTGTTTTAAAGCCACTGACCTCCAGATAGTAAAATGAAAAAAAGGAAATAAAATTTCAAGTAAATGGTAAATACTGATCTAGTTAGGGTTATTGTTTAAATCCATCATTACTGACACCTTAATTCAAGAAAGAATGTTGACAAAAGCGTTAATTTATCTGGTTTTCTTTTCCATAATCTACTACGTCACTATCGCAGTAGCCAAATAAATAGGAGAAGATAATTCATTTATCGCGGTCACGTGTCACAACAGTGATCCGAAAAATCCCGGTATCCGGTATGCCCGGGATCGTTTATCAATTTTCGTCATTAAGTAGGCCCCTATCACATTTCAAGCTAAAGGTTAAATCGATAAATTGGTCATCATATATATGAAATAATTAATCAATTATAATTTTAGTGCCACGAATTACTACAAATATAAAAACAAAAGCAGTTATTCGTATCCCTATATGTTTGATAAAATCCCTGATTTCGTGCGTTCCGGGGCACAGGTCACGATATTGTCCTGTACGATCACGTGATACTAGAAAAAAACCCGGATGAAAGAATTCCGTGGTATAATAAAAGAAGGTATTTCCCGTTGGTGGAAAAGCGAAAGGTTTGTTTTCAGAGCAATAATGTTAAAATATGAACATTTTGAAGTGTCATTTCGATTCCTTTCAACTATATAATTTTTTGAGGGGGATTTTGAAATATTAGCAAGACGGCAGTTTTTCTGCTATCTTCTGGAGGTCAGCTGCTTAATACTTTCATGATTTTCAGTAAAGATTTGCTAACTTTTATTTCTTGACTAGATCTATACACATTTTGGTCGTTTTGCATGGAAGATTAAATGCTGAAATTTTGTTCAATGTTGTTGTCGAATAAATAATACCTAAAAGAAATGAATGATTGTAAAGATACAGTAATGTTTTTTTTATATATATAACGCCGGTATAGTTCTAAATTTCGCAAGCCATTTTGAGTGAAATGTTTGCGCATGCTCGACAGGAAGGCGACAGTAGGCCTACGATGGTGACAGTACGATAATAATAATAATAATAATGATGATGATGATGATGATGATGATGATGATGATGATGATGATATTAGAGCTTATAACTTTATTTACAGAAGGTAACACATTAAGACATGTATATACAGATTGTAATAGATCTACCTTATTTACTATGCGGCCTTCTAAATTTAAAAAAAATGGTGACAGTACGACAGTCTGATGGTGACAGTACGCCAGTACCATGGTGACAATACGACAGTACGACAGACTGACACCATCGTGTTGTCGTGCTTCGCCATCGTACTGTCGTATTTTTTTATACTATTTCATTCTATTTTGTTCTCTTTTTTTTATGTACATAATTATGTTCATCACATTGTCATATAACTATGTATAACTTTACTTTGTTTTGTAATCATTTGTTATATTGTTGTTTTCTCACATGCCCAGTTGGGCCTTGAGATATTAATCATAACAATAAAAACTTGAAACTTGAAACTCGTATTGTCGCCAATGGGTGTGATACTCATGACGTCATCTATCTTGCATTTCTTTCTGTGACGTCATTAAATAGTATGTTATGTACAGTGGATTTACATAATATTGTAAACAGTATGTGTTTACATTTCAGGTGTTTGGGAACTAAAATAGTGGTCATTGTCGGCGCTTTTCAGATGTTACAGTTATTTGTTGCAGGTGAGATTTTTTTACACTGACCGCTTCTAGTTTCTCTGTATCAACAGTTCTGCAGGCCTACACAAGCTGACAAGGTAGAAAACACAAAGAGTCAGACCGTTCAGCGTTTGTTGTACAGCAGTAGTGTTGGGTATCGGACTCAAAAATCACTATCGATAATCGGACCACCACAATCGATTGTCTGCCGATAGTACCATCGAGTTTGGCACTTATAATGGCCCTTTTTTCTTTAGTATGATTTGCTCTTTGAAACACAAATACCTAATACTACTTTGTGACAGTCAATTTTTGTAAAATACAACTTTATGGCAGTCAATAATATGAAATTAGGCAAGGCCTATGAACGGGGAAGTCGTTAAAAATTCCTTTCATTCTTTCTGTTTTAAAGGTGTTATTCGGTATTACATGCACCGCTTCCGTTTTCACTCGGAACACTCGACGATTATCATTTATCCGAAAAGTTGAGATTTGTTCCGTTATCGGAATACCCCGCCTATTTTCATTGAGTTACATTGTAAATGGCGGCGCCCGACTAGAAATGACACTGAAAATTTCATTGATAGGTATAGAATTCTATATATTTTCTACTTGTTTTTTATTTCATTTTCTTTTAAATATACACGTGTAGTCTATAGTATTAGTACTACTGGTCGGGGACCACCAAAACCGGACAACCACCAAACCCGGACGGCCCCGAAAATGCTTAATTTAGTATTTTCTTTGTTCAGTGGTTGTCAGTCAGTTTTCTATCACCAATAAATGCATGTTTCTTCTAAAATTAGATAAATAAATTAAGTTCAACCTCCATAAATGGTAATATTTAAATGGCTATTTCAAGAATGCTGACCTAGAAATTTGGGGGTCAAGAAACCAATGCCTGAACTCGTATACCAGCTATAATCATGTGCAGAGTAAACAAGAGAATATTCAAAACTTCAGCATTTGTTGCTGAAATATTGTATAACATGTTAAATATCAAAAATTAAAACACCCAAAGTTTTATCTGAATTAAATCACATCATGTACATATCTGTCCGGACACATGGTACTGTAGTGTAGACAATTTAGGCAATTTTTATACCTTACTTGTCAAGCCTCAGATATAAGTGTCAATACAATCAGAAATAAACAAACTAGTTTGTTAGTTAGGAGAAGAACCTAACTGAACTGTGTCAAATTTTTAGGTCTCTATGTTAAAAATTATGAAATCTGTACGGAAAAATGTTCAAAAAGTGTCCGGTTGATGGTCCCCGACCAGTAGTCAACAGGTCAAAATATCAATGAGTAGTATTGTAGATCACTTATTTAACTACAGTAGATATATAAGTTTATAATGTTATGTTACTACACACTATAATTTTCTAAAGTAGTATTAACCATGTTAAATAGGTTTTGAATACAAAAAATACTTTAAAATTGTCTGGAATTAAAGAGATTCGGTCGGGAAACTTCTTTTTGACTGCATGTAAAAAAGTTACGCCATAGGCAATTCAGCGGTGGTAGAACATTAAAATAATCGATTTTTAAAAAGGACTATCGATTGTTGCCGATTATGGGGTGGTCCGATTAGTTATCGATTTTCAGAGACAATCGGGACAACACTATACAGTAGCATAATTTTCTATTGCATGAAGTATCTTCAGCCCCTAAAAGTCTTAGCGAACACATTATTACCTTTTCTTTTCTCATAACAACTAATGATTTACCGAAATAAGCCTGGGATACGGCGATGAATAGAAAAGTATTTAGCAAATGTAGCTCATAAATGTTGCAGATTCGTCTATTACAGTAGATTGTACTATTTATACTGCAGTACAGTAGATCTACTGTCATAAAAATAATTTATACAGAATTTGAAAAAGTTACTGAATAGATCAAGCTATAAGTAGTATTAGCTTATTTGTATGTTAGATTCTATTGAAACCTGGTTTTAAGGGACACTCGAGTTCTACCATAATTTAACTACTGTAGATCTATTATCACAGGAACTTGAAATTTTATCAAATAACCAATGTTGAAGATATTATCCAAAAAAAAAGAAGGAATGTGTTTATAAATATACTATACTGGCATGCGAGCATTTCCCGTACAAAAATCATAGTTACTTAAGCATTATTTTTTATTACGCTCACTCACCAAAATTTGAATGTTACACATCAATATTCAGCTCGTAACACAAATCATGGAAATTCCATGATGTTCTTAACATAGAACAACCCTTAGTTATGAGGCCTCATATGGGGTACCGAAATTATCCATTATTTTGTATGAAGAGAAGTAGTTCCCGTACATAAAATCTAACCCATTATGATTATACAATTTTATTTTATCGGACCTATTTTTCATTTACAATTGTTGAACAGACCATTATCTAAGAGATAAATAGATGTTATTCAGGAAATAGAGCGTAGACTAAACGCGGGTATCAATTACCCGGTACCGTTACCCCAACGCATTCACATGCAAAAGCATGCTTGTATGCATGCATGATATTTTACGCATCAAAGCCATAAAATTATTATATATAGTAGTATTGGTCAACATTCTGATAATTAAACAAGTTTACATCACATTACCTACTTATTTGTAAACAGGTGGTATTAGTGGAAAACCCTTTAACAAGCCTCACGTGTAAGTATTTTTGCGCTTGCGCGCAAGGACGGAATCCCCCAGAGAAAACAAGGTCACGTTTTGACGACGCACAGGTGAAAGTGATTTAAAATGAGACTTTATATACGTACTGCCGAACTGACACTTAGATTTTGTCTCGTTTATGTATCTGCTTGATTTGAAATGAATTTTTGAAGAATGCAAGTAAAAATCAAGCGTTTAAATGAAAAATACGGGTACTGCTTCTGTACGGGAACTGCTCGCATGCCAGTATAGGGGCTTTTTTTGATAATATCGTTAATATTGGTTATTTGATAGGATTTCACGTTCCTGTGGTTTTATTGAACATACAACATGATCCCCTTCTCAACAATAACCTCTCACCAATAGTCACCTCCTCCTTACAACGTCCACTTCTCAGACTCTATACAGCTGTTCAGCTGCTGGCTGTTGTAGGAGGTTCAACTGCATGTATCTTAAAATCTGATAAGGCTGGATATCAATATTACATTGTATTGTGCTTACTGCAGGTATTTCAGTTAAAAACCATTTTGTACGCACCAGTCAATACAAATAATTGTCAAACTACACCAAACCTCGGAGCTACGGTGGCACAAAGGTGACATTTGAGTGTTCTTATCTCGTGCGCACGAGATACTATGCCGTGGCCACGAGTTACTTAGTCGTGGCCACGAGATAGTTAAGTCGTTTGAACGAGATATTGTGTCTTGGCCACGAGTTACTAAGTCGTGGCCACGAGTTACTAAGTCGTGGCCACGAGATAGTTAAGTCTTTGGAACGAGATACTATGTCGTGGCCACAAGTTACTAAGTCGTGACCACGACATAGTTAAGTCGTGGAAACGAGATACTTTGTCGTGGCCACGAGATACTATGTCGTGGCCACGAGTTACTAAGTCGTGGCCACGAGATAACTAAGTCGTGCGTACGAAATTATTAACTAATCAGATAACACTATGATTTTTTTTAAACTTAAAAAAAATTCTGTTTAAAGTTGTACATGCAACATTAATCTTTGAAAAAACTGTATTGTCCACTTTAAACTTGATACATGTCTTAAGGATCATATTAGAAAGTCAGCTTCTAAGGCCCATAAATCAGACATTAATTTTGACTAAGTTATAGCCCTTTGTAGGGACAATTCTATTATAAAATTGGTCAGTTTGTACATACAACGGCCTGTTAACCTTGTTTATATGATAACTTGAGAAGGAATTCATCCTGGTTTATTTTATTTGGTAGGGACAATGCCCATGGATAGTAGATAGCTTTTAAGGATGTTTGAGGTCGAGGGTCAAGGTAAACATGACACTTCATGTAAAATCCTTGTCTGATGATGATTTAGAAGGAATTAGTCATGGTTTATATAACCTAGAAAGATCATTGCTCCTGATCAGTAGATGACACCTAATAATTTTGAGGCCATTGGGTCAAAAATCAGGGTCACAATGACGCTAAATGTAAAATCATTGACCAATCAATAACTTTTATAAATGGCACTTTTACAGGCAGGTGAAGTAGGGGCATCCGGATATTATAGCACATGTTTAGTTAATAAGGAAGATTCATATAAATAGTGAAATCTGATTGGTTATTTATCTCGTGCGCACGACTTAGTAACTCGTGACCACGACATAGTTCCTTGTTCCCACGACTTAACTATCTCGCGGCCACGACTTACTAACTCGCGGTCACGATTTACTAACTCGTGGCCACGACTTAGTAACTCGTGGCCACGACATAGTATCTCGTTCCCACGACTTAATTATCTCGTGGCCACGACTGAGTAACTCGTGGCCATGACATAGTATCTCGTTGCCACGACAAAGTATCTCGTTCCCACGACTTAACCATCTCGTGTCCACGACTAAGTAACTCGTGGCCACGACTAAGTATCTCGTGGCCACGACGTAGTATCTCGTGCGTACGAGATAAATAAAAACACACACATGTCACCTTTGTGCCACCGTAAAGCACTGCAGGGGAGGTAAGCAATTTTTCCCGCGGTAATTTAGTTTGACTCAAATAAATAGCAGGATGATGTTAAAGATACAGTACTACAGATCTACAACTTTATGTTCCCTTTATCGGGTTTAAACCAAAAAATCTAAATGTCTTTCTTTTGGGGGCCAACTGACAGGCGCAATAGCTACAATGTAACAGTCACTTTCATGTACATATCGGACAGTGATGCTTATATGCTACATTGTGTATTTATATAGAGGATATTTGTTTAGTTCAGTGTAAGATCGGAATATATTTCACCGAGTGAGCACCAAAAGGTATATTTCACGAGTGGCGCAGCCACGAGTGAAATATGAACTTTTGGTGTTCACAAGGTGAAATATATTTCAATCTTACACTAAAACT